TGTTTGAGCTGTGATGTGTTTGTAAATAGCATAGTAGGAATTCTTTTCCTTGTCTTCATTTGGAAAAGCGCTTAAAGGTCTTTTGTTTAGGAGTTCATATATTGTTCTGGAAAGGCAATCATTACCATTTTCTCACCGAGACAAAGCTTACTTGTTTTGAGGTGTTGTTGTAAGTTCGTGTTGTTTTTCTAATTTTTCATGTTATTTTTGTGAGTGTTTTGGTGCGTTCCATGTTTTGAGAGTGTTGTGCTATTTGAATTTTTTATTGCTGAATGATCTTTTTTTACTTGAGTGGCTTTTTTTGTTTCTAAGGACGTTCTGTTATTTATATATATATATATATATATATATATATATATATATATATATATATATATATATATATATATTGGCATATATATGTTTTGTAATAGCTGACTACAGAGGTAACGGATGTTTTACCACTAATAGGCAATTAGAGCAGTCATGGGAGAATGGTTTGTCAAAATAGAGAATCGCATATTCTCTTCCCCATCCATTTTGCAGAGTGCAGGGAGGAGTGATTTTCTTCCCAGTGTTATTATTGCTAACTGATCGTAAATAGATTCAACCAAATCCTTTACGCCGTGCCAATAACCTTCATGTTTAAGTACTTTTCTTCCCATACATTTATATCTAATATTCTCTGCGTGAAAAATTGGTAAAATTGTGTGCTTCATAGGCGTTTACAGTTTGTACGTATTTCCATTTGTCGGATGTGAATAGCGGTCATTATGATGTCCTCTGGTGGATAGAACCAAGAAGTCGGAAAATAAAAATGAAATAAAAGAACGCGAAACGCAAGGATAAATTACTGTCTTGGAGTATTGAGAAATCCACGCTAGATTAATTGCCTCTAGTAGCAAAAATAAATAAATAATGCGCTTCGTTATTGCGGAAGTGGACTATTTTCTCTCGTGGAATGTTACACAAGATTGGTGTGAAAAGTGTCCGGATATCCATTCACTATTCTTCAAAAAGATAAACAAAGAAAATAAATCCGAGAGAAAAAAAAATCAGAAAGAACAGGAAGAAGAAAAAGAATTTTCTTGAATCTGAGAACTGTTTATAAAACGTATTTTACAAGTACAAAAATAATTTAGTTGACTAGATATTTAATGAAAAAGCCCGGCTAAAATAGGGCCACCGTTTTTAATATTCAAACATGGGGAACCATTGGCATTGTTTGTGTATCGCTTATATGACTCTATACGGTTAATATTTAACTATATTGTGAGTTTACACATATTTTTAATCGGTATCACCGCATGCAAGGTAGTAAAGCCACTAAGAGACAAGGGGTTGCAGGGTGTGGAAGAATTAGAAATAGAAACATTAATAATGAGCGGGAAGAGGAGAGTAATCAGGGGGGGGCAGTAAATAGCAATAATGATGAACAGAAAGAGAAGAGAAATTAATGGACAGTAGATAACGATTAACATTGCATATAAATTTTTGTTGGTTAAAGCTGGCTGGAAAGCATGGAGCCGGAAGGGAGTTCCACAAGAGAGACGCGCGAGTGAAGAAACTGTTAGCATAGAATTTACGGCTACATCTAGCCAGCTCAACTGTAAAATGATGAGAGCTCGACTCCAGTCTAGTGCTTAGCTTAAATTCAAAATCTCTAGATACCATAGCGAAGGGCTCATTTGAACAATTAGCATGAGAGTATTTACAGAAAAGACATAGAGAGACAACCTTATGACAGGGCAAAAAGTAACTGGAGCCAAACCTCCAGATCAGGGACAATAATATTGCAGATTCTTCTTATCAAGGTGGCAGAAATATATATATATATATATATATATATATATATATATATATATATATATATATATATATATATATATATATATATATATATATATATATATATATATATATATATATATATATATATATAGTCTTTATTATGACTCTCGAATGCACAAACTTGTGGATTTAAATTTACGCTGTTTTAAAAAATAAGGACGTCTACTCAAACACGTGAATCCACAAAATAAATTAATAAGAAATACAAAACTATATACAAAATAAATTAGTAACCAGAAACGTAGTTATTGAATAAAATTTGAGCTGAAATCTGTTGCTGCATACCTTTCAATCTATGTGAATTAAGAGCTCTGGCAAGGAAAGAGATTTAAATAAATGAATTGTATTGAAAAGGAAAGAGATTATGTTGAAAACTAAATATTTGTTATCCAGGATAAATAAATGCTATTTTTATTACTTAGTTACGGATTACTGAAGGACTGAATGATCTTTTTTTCCTTTCACCATTGCTCATTTGGGAACATATAGTGGGGTTGACACAAAACGATTTTAACCTGTTCTCTTTCTAGCTGAATAACTCAAAAGTATCTATCTATATTTCTGAGATGAGGTATTATGTACACTATTTACATTAATCGGACTATTGTCCTCATCTTTGTCGCCATATTTATTACAACGTTTCCGCCGTTGTACACTCCGGCCTTCTTCATGGGGTTGGAGTGTCGAACTGAAGTTCTCCGTGATCCAGTAACAAACAGTGTGAGTTCAATACCCGGTTAAGGCAGTGGAGAAATTGGAGAGGGGAATTAACAAGAGATAACTGATAACTGACATCCATTAAACATGGCACGTGGAACTAGTACAGTCTACCACAGTGAGCGAAATAAAGGGTTCAGTTCGACATTCCAACCTCCTGAAGAAGGCCGGAGCGTACAACGGCCGACACGTTGTAATAAATATGGCGACAAAGATGAGGACAATAGTCCGAATACAGTAGTGTACATAACTCAAAGGCTTTTCAGTGATTTTTTACGACAAATGGTGTCAAACGTCTTATCTGAAAACTTGAAAAAAAAGAAACTCCATTAGTTTAGTAGTTTTTAGATATTAAACATTTTGTGGGATGGACAATTATCCCATGCTGTTACACGATTTGGACAATTTTGCTTTTACACTCGGTATATGCGATACAAAGAACAAACAATACAGCAACGATTGGACAACAAATCGTATCGGATTAATGATATAACACAGGTATACAAATTGTCAAAAGTCATCAAACTAGTAAAAGTGAACACTGAGGTCAACAACGACAGTGTTTCATGTTTGAATGCAATCTTCAGGCCATCGCCTCAAGATTGCGTTCAAGCACGAAACAGACCTTTTTGGCCACAGCGGAGCGTTCGGTTAGCAAGGTCGAATTTACTGTATTTAAACTTCAATCTTATATGAATCTCTCACGTACATTCATATCTGCTCATGACGTATCAAATGTAAACAAATCAGTTAAAGGCACGTCAAGCTAAATGACGGTTCCGTGTAGGATACAGGTTCGAATCCTGTCGGAGGACGAATATTTTCTGTGAAAATTTCTCGGATATTCAGGCCGGTAAATGTTGTTTAATACTGTTTATTATAAACAGAGCATTTACTTAAATATTTGTATCTATAAAAAATGTATAAACATAAAAATGTCTTAAATATATGTATATATATATATATATATATATATATATATATATATATATATACCTGTAAATGCGTCTTGTGTCAAACATTATTCATTATTCAGAAACTTCTGTAACACGTACATTTCTGTATATATATATATATATATATATATATATATATATATATATATATATATACAAAAAAAATCCAAATACATTGAGCTCTCTGTGGATCAGTTTTAATATCTGATATTACTAGGATCCATCTGGATTATATACCAACGGATCTATTACCTGTACTATAGTCGCACTGAGGAGCTGTAATACAGTGAAACAGTACTGTCTGCGAATGACATAATTTAGCCCATGAAAATATATTTCAATTGGGCACTATTGAGTGATAAGTTAATTCTATAAACAACAGCAACCTGCGCTAATGCAAAGCTCTTCAGTAAAATGAGTAGAGACCCTCCGACTGATTAACATTTGTTTACATTCGTAAAAACAATTCGCTAGATTTAGCTGTTTCACTCTGTCGAATGAAGATAGCTTAGTGGTAGAAACTCTGAATGACGCCAAATCGGTTGGGTTTCAATCCTGGCTTGAGGCATTTGGATGTCTGGTCGCACTGAGGAGCTGTGATACAGCGAAACAGTACTGTCCGCGAATGGCCTATATATATATATATATATGTGTGTGTGTGTGTACATTTGTGCAAATATATCTAAGTTTATGCAATCTTGTTCATCTAAACGCTAAATTATATTTTTTCAAGCATTTTGTGAACTTGGACGCACATAAGCTGAGAAAGGAGAACGTGTATGCCAATGAATATGATGAGATACTCAAATCTTTGGGTTGTAAGTCTACTCATTAGCACACAAATCACTCATACACACACGCGCGCGCGCATGCGCAAATATTCGAAAAAATATACAATTATCTACTCTCATTTACTTACGTTTTTCCTCTTCCACTTAGTGCATATCCAACAACAACCTGATCCGCCGGACTAAAACCCCCTTTAAACTAACAGCATTCATCAAATATCAATTTGTCAAAGAAATTTCCGCCCTATCGACTATTTCGTTTCGTTACGGCTAATTCTGAATTTTTTATAGTTTCACAAAATTGCGTTTGCATCAAACTCTTCGAAAACCAACCTCCGGATACAGTCAGCGTCCCGTCAATGCTATCGACCTTCCAATTCTCTAACCTCCCCTCTCCGACTTGAATTAGCTCCCAACCAATACCAGGCATTACAAGACCAATTTCTGTGGTATTAACAAGCCATTAGACTCTCATCAAGCGTCTTATTAGAAACTGGGACCTCTATTACCTTTTTCCTCTGGTGCTGCTTGCAGAAGGTTAGTTGCCACTTGTGAATGCTGTTCAAAGTGGACTGAGCCAACTGCACACCACACCTACCGTGCGGCTTTGTCTAAAACTCAGATTGGATTTCTGACACTCCTTTTCGTTCCTCTTTTGTTTCAATGAAGTTGTGTGGAGTTAGTAATGAATTAGATCTTTAATCATTCTATGGCCTGCAAATACAGACGACACGCTGCCGGGTAAAACGTTGCCGACGCACCATGCAGAAATGTGCAGTGACTCAAACGTTTGACTTTGCAAGATCACTTGCTCCTCTTTTTGTGGCAACCCGTCGAATATCCGATGCCGGCAGCAACCGCTGAGAAAAATGTAATAATTTTGATAACAGCATTGCGTGATGCACTGCAGGACGACTGCCTCTCACTTCGATATTAATATTAATGTATAATCAGTTTTAGGAAATATAAAATCTATACTAAATTGAAAATTACTAAGTTTAGCCTAGTTTAGTCCAAGTCAACAAAAGTTAGCACCAATAGCCAAAACGGTTTGATTGTTAACAACCAATCAGTGACAAGCGTCAAGAACGGCAATAAACATCATTCTCATTCATTCCTCTCCTTTATAATTATTTAATAATTTGGTTGGAAAATTACATTAATTCAATAATAGTGAGATAATTTTAATTGTGGCGTGACCATTACTAGAAATAATGCAAGTTGAAAATTAGTAAAGAGAACAAAATAGAGAGACGTCTCAACTCGTATCTCATAACTAACAACCGTTTTGTCAATACGAAAGTAAACACATTTTTTAACTAATTTATGTCTCTGTATTTCAACTGGAAAAAAGAAAAATTAATATGAAAAAGGGAAAGAAACGGAGCTCAAACAAAAAAAATCACGAACATGCTTACCAAATATGCGACAGCCAGCAGGTTCGAATACATATTTTTTTTAATAAGATTTCAGATATTCAGATAAGATATCCAGGCCGACGAAAGCTAAATTTGAAATCGGAATTGCAGTTCACGATGAAAAAATTATAAAATCAATAAATAACGTTGTATTTAAAATTTATTTATTTATAAATTAATTCAGTTCTTCGTTTCGATTTGGAAAATTTCTTGATCACTTTATTGTTGGTTGATTGATTTTGTTTAGCGACATATCAACCTCTATGGATTATTTAATGTCGAAATTTAAATATTTTAAACACAGTTTTATGGCTTCATCTAAATATATTTTGAACGCAATTTGAAGATATTTTATCTGTAGTTGACCACAGATAAAATAACTTCAATATCTGTCTATATTTCTGAGATTATATTGTAATTATTTATACTCTTTACATTCTTCGGACTGTCGTTTTCTTCTTATTCACAACGTTTCGGCCGTTGTACGCCCCGGCCTTGTAATTTCGAACTGAACCTGATTTCGTTCACCGGGATAGATTGTTCTAGTTCTGCCATGCTTCTTCTGGATTTCTCAGTTATCTCCCTTTAACTCTACTCCAAGTGTTTGTTCACTACTGCAGTAGCTAGGTATTGAACTCGCAACTCTTTAGGTCAAACAACTGGATCCAACCATCGCGTTTATCCACTGAGCTATGTGTTCTTAACGCGAAGCCTGGTCAGTAACTAGATGGGTGACCGCTTGGGAATTCCAAGTCCTGTAAGCCTGGATATGTGGGTGGTGTAATGGATAATGGTTCGGAATTGTTAATCAGTGAACCGAGTTCCATCTGCGCGAAATGCACATATATATATATATATATATATATACACGCATAAATACACATATATAATTTTCACACTGGATCTCGGAGTAAACAGTTCGTTATCAACTGTACCACTTTAATAATTATTATTATTACTTTAAATGATAATAATAAAGAAATCAATAAATATATTTAAAAAAAAGTATAAAACTATCATCATATACATGAGAACACTTTTAAAAGATAAATGATAGAAGAAATTGACTATTCTGAACCAATAATAAAAGCAGTAAACAAAACAAAATAACGTTACGATTCGAAACGCTTTTCCTACAAATTCGAAAAGAAGAAATGAATAAAATTATAGGTAAATCTTGTCAAAAATGTTTGAATGATAAATGATATAGAAAGAAATCGACAATACTGAACAAATAGAGATAAACTTAAAACAAACATTACTATTCGACATACATTTCCTACAGTTTCGAAAATTACATCCTCTTTCATAAAAAGAACTATTACACTTAAATATAGAGTAGAATTATTCGTGCCAATGTATAAGTACTTTAGCAAATACAATGTATTGAATGTTCTTAATATAATAATTCTTAGTGGGACATTCTTAATAAATTAAACTTGCTGAATAGACTTATTCAAAAAATAAAACAATCCATGTATACCACGTCTTATCTATAAAAAATAAACAAATATGTATTTTAATAATTAAAGATTATAAATTCATAATAATATAATGAAAATATAAGAATAAATGGATTGTTATTATTATTATTATTATTATTATTATTATTATTATTTATGAATTGTCATGACCTCTTAGAAAAATAGTAGAGTGGTATTCCGCTGCCTTCCCCACGGCTTTGAATTCAGTTTTGTTTCCAACCCAAGACTGCTATTTAACTCATAGGTGGGAGGAATAGATGTATTCATGTCTTTTCAAAGGGTTTAAGTGCGGAATTAGAACTGCTTCCAGTTTCTACAATGATATCCGTTACACTACCAGCACACACACACACACACACACACACACACACATGCACTGTTCTTTCCATACATACATAAACATCCATGTGTCATGCATCAGTGTTATGAAATTTAAATTCAATTTTCTATCTATGCACATATAAATACAAATTCTATGAATTCACACGATTACACATAGTTAACCTTGAATACACACACACACACACACACACACACACACACATATATATATATATATATATATATATATATTCCTATCGATCACACATACATATGCTTTACACTCGTACATACGTACGCACTGGAAGGCAAACGTTTTATGAGTCGGTATTCCATCCATGTATTCGGCCTGCCACGAGAGTCTGTCAAATTGATAACATTATCACAATGGTCGCTTGCTCCCAATTAAAATTGCATTGGACGGACATGTTTTTTCATGCATAATAATTCGCAGTCAGTGCACTTTCCTGACACATTAGGGTCAGCACTGTACACATGCCATTTATTAGCCATCCAACATGACACCGCACCACGAGAGGTCCTCACTGCACATCACGATTTCAGAGTTGAGCATTTTTTAAGGGTGGAGGAGATCTCTTACACGCGTTTATTTTACTTTTTTAATTTTTTCGATTTTTTTTTTTTTTTACCATTTTTTCCCGCCTTTTGTCAGCCATTCATATTTTTTCCGTCTCGTTTTTATTTAATTTTGATATTTTTCTATTGAGTTTTGTTG